CATGACCCGAGCCAAAGTCAGACGCCCAACCGACTGAGCCACCCGGGCGCCCCTCCACTGTGTTTTTTTGAGTCAGTGTTGTTGTTCTTTTTAGTTCTATTTTTAATGTTTGTTTATTTTAGAGAGAGAGACAGCATGACCAGGGGAGGGACAGAGAGAGAAAGAGAGAGAGAGAGAGAGAGGGAGACACAGAATCAGAAACAGGCTCCAGGCTCTGAGCTGTCAGGACAAAGCCCGAGGTGGGGTTTGAACTCTTGAACCGCGAGGTCATGACCTGAGCCAAAGTCGGACGCTTCACCGACGGAGCCACCCAGGCACCCCCTTGTTGTGCTTTTTAGATTCCACATATAAGGTGTGTCATATCATGTGTGTCCTTCTCTTTCTGACTTGTTTCCCTTAGCATAATGTCCTCGAGGTCCATCTACGCTGTTGCAAACGGCAGAATTTTCTCTTTTTTCCTCCCAGCTGAAAAGTATGTCATTGTGTCTATATGCATCACATCCTCTTTACCCTAAATTCATCCACTGACGGGCACTTAGGTTGCTTTTGTATCTTGGCTATTATAAGACTGCATTAACATGGGAGTGTAGACATATTTTTGATAACCTGTTTTCTTTTCCTTTGGACGTACATCCAGAAGTGGGATTGCTAGATCATGTGGTGGTTCTACTGTGAGTTTTCTGAGGAGCCTCCAGACTATTCTCCAAGATGGCGGGACCAGTTTGCCACCCCACCAGCAGGGCACAAGGGTTCCATTTTCTCTGCATCCTCACCGACATTTGCTATCTCTTAACTGTTTACTTTTGCTGTGCAGAAGCTTTTAAGTTTGATGTCGTCCCACCTGTTGATTTTTATTTCTTGTACTGTTTGTGCTTTTGGTGTGATATGCAAAAAATCTTTCCAAGACCCATGTCAAGAAGCTTTTGCCCTGTTTTCTTTTAGGAGTTTTATGGTTTTAAGCCTTCCATCCATTTCAATTAAATTCTGTGAGGGTGTCAGATGGGGATCCAGCTTCATTTTCTGCGTGAGGTTACCTATCCAGTTTTCGCAACACCATCTGTTGAAGAGACTGACCTGGGAACTGTAGATTTTTAAAAGCTTCCCAAGTGGTCGCAACCAAGGTGATAGCCAGCGCTGTGGAGCCTCAGCTCCTGCAACGCAAGAACTTCGGGGGCTCCGCTGCAGGGCGGACCCCAAGGGGAGGGTGCAGGAGGCTCCGGGGCGCAGCCAGCAGCCTCCCACCAGCTCTGCCAGAGCTTCTGCCTGCAGCCGCCGCACCGCAACTGGAGGGCGGTGCATGGGAGGAGGGCACCGGCTGTCAAGTCCGGTGGTGGGATCCCTCCGTGGGGCTGCTGTGGGGGGCTCTTTGCTGACCTGCAAACACACCGCATGGGGCGTGGAGGTGGAGCTGAGGGCGACAGTGGTAGCCCTGAGTAGAGCCTATTATGGCCTGGCACTCTTCTAAGGCTTTGCGTTAATTTAAAAAAAAAATTTTTTTTTTAATGATTTTATTTTTGAGAAGAGAGAGAGCATGAACAGGGGAGGGGCAGAGAGAGAGAGGGAG